TTGACTTTTATAGTAGCTACTTGTAAGTAAGTTTTGAAAGAACTAAGATATGTAGCTTTTATTAATCATTTTATCATAAAAAGTTTCTATTAATCTTTTTTCTCCTTTTTAATAATATAAATAAATATATAAACTGTTTTAAAATTCTTAATTTAAAAATAAAAATAAAAAACAGTTATTTTGGAACAAAGAAAATATTAAATAAGATTAATGGTTGAAAGATACTGTTTATATCTCCCTTTACCCAAGATTCAGACACTTTTTTATTTTATTTTCCGGGTGAGAATTTGGAACAATTTATATTTTTGTCTATATTATAATTAAAAAAGAGATAAAAATAAAGAAAAACCTCTTTTATGATGAGATAAATAATTCAAATCAATAAATAATAATAAAGTTAAAATTGAATAAATATATTTGAGTACTTTAAAATAGGAAAAAATGAAAATTAATTTGAAATAAATTTTAAATGAAAAAAGTCTATTATTCTAAAATAGAGACAATATAATCTAAATATTTTATTCATAGGATTAATACAAACCACCAACTGCTAATCTCAAATCTATTTACGAAATACTATCTTAAGGTTTAAATAAAAGAAAATTAATCATTAAAGCATGAGATAATTTAAAAAATTGGGAGAAGATTCATCTATAAGCCATATTAAATCTCGACTAATTTAGAATTGAGTTGTGCAAATTTCATAAGAGAAAAACTCTCTCAACATTTATCATTTTATTTACAAAACTTAAACTTGAAGTTTTATTTAAAAATAGTCAAACTCTTTTTATTTGAATTAATAAATTGTTGGTATTAAGAAAATGTTCATAGTTCTCATAAGAAAAATAAAAATAAAATCGATAAAGACTAAAAATAATCCATAAAAACAAAAGAAAAACAAAATAGCCAATGAATTAAAAATAAGTAAATACATTATCCGACAATAAATTTGTCTGGTCAACATAATATAAGTAGCTGTTCTAATAAGTTATAACAATGCATTAGGAATGCTCACGAGGAAGTGGCTTAACTGATTAATAATTTAAAATTAAAAATTAAAAATCTCAGTTTTGAATTATGAGTTAAACAGAGAAGAATTTGAAAAGGAGAAAAGTTATTTTTTATATATATAGTTTATCAGATATACAAAAATAAATGCATTAATAATTTAGCTAGGGTCCATTTGGTTTTCTAATACCATATATAAAAATCTTGAAAAACTAATAATTACTCCCTTTGTTCTTAAATAATCATTTTGTAAAATTTGTCTCAAATAAATGATCTTTTTTCACTTTTAAAGGTAAATAAATACTTTTTTTAATTTACTATTTTAATCATATCATTATTCATTCATTTTAGTTAATCACTCGTTTAGGAAAAAAAAAATTTATTTTTATTTTTATTTTTTACCAATTTCTTAGTATCTAAAAAACACACTAGATTTTGATTAATTCAATACTTATTTTTTCATTCATAAATTTTAAAATCTTATTTAAAAAGAATCAAAATCATTTACACTCAAATTAACAGATTATTAATTTTATTTCTATTTTAAATGTATTATATATAAATATTAATATTGTTCCTAAATCTTTAATAGAGTTAAAAAAAAATGATAGTTATTTTGGGAGGAAGAGGGAGTAAGCTTCTACTAGCTACAGAGGCTTAACCACTAACGTCAGAAACTGCTCTTTGTATCTGAACCCAATTCGGTGCCCATCACCGATACCTTTCTTTCTTGTACAATTCACTCGTGTTCCTTAGAAAATAGTAAGGATGTTCATACTTCAACTTCAACCTATATTAATCTCCGGTATCTTCATCGTACGTGAGAATGTCTATTGCTTCTCCTTCCTTGAGATCCTCAACTTCACAGCGCTCTCCAGTGTAGAAGAATGTATGTGTCGACTTCTTCCGCCAAGAAGATGACTTCCTCTTTCCTGCTCTGCACAGTCCTCTCAATCTGCCATTCATTGTTTCCGAACATCGATTCCATAAGTGCATCGCTTGTTTTTGCACTCCCTTAGTTTCTCGAATTGCCAGTCATCATGATTCTGGAAAACTAGTTGTTTGCTCTCCATGTAGCTAGCCAACCATCGGGGAAGCGTTGTTAGATAAATCCTAGTGCAAAAACTAGAGAGAGTAGATTGAGGACAGACTTAATAAATAGACCCCCTTCCCTTAATTATAATTACAATATAGTTTAGATTGCATAATTTAAAGATACGACTCATAATATTAGGACTATTTCTTAATATAATGATCATTATTTTGCAAAGAACTTTTATAATCATTACCATATATATGATTTGGAGTAATGATAGGGGGACGATTTTGGAGGACGAAAACAGAGGACGACAAGTGAAACAAGGTCAAATTGCATGAAACAAGGTCAAAATTATCAATTTGACCTTGCTTCACTTGTCGTCCTCTGTTTTCGTCCCTCAAAATCGTCCCCCTTATCATTACTCTTATGATTTGAGATCTTAACTACAAGTTTGGGTAGAAAACCATAATTAAATTAAAGATAGATAAAAAAAATATTATTTATTGATTTGAGATTACATAATGAAAGACAACTTAACACAAGGTAACTTGACTTTTTATTATCTTTTAAATTTATCTTACTTATATATTATATAATTCAAATTCAAAACTTTTGAATTTCATTTTACACTAGATCAATTAATAGTTGACCAAAGAATATCTTTTGAATCATTACATTTTAAGTGTCATATTTTTACTGGTGGTTTACTAGCTTATTAGATTAGAAGTAAGATTTTTTTTTTTTTTTTTTTTAAAATACATATTCAAATATTTGGCTTATGTCAAAATTAGAGTTAGAATTGAATTTGAAAACTTTGTTACTGTTATATTTAATGCCTTTTCAGATCTTTTTAGTTATCACATCTTTCACTGGTAGTTCTCAAGAAACCGGATCGAAGCGCAGTGGTGAAGTTGAGAGCTTTTTCTCTATTTGCTCTCAGGTAGCATATTCGATTTATTTCTTGGCTTTTCCTGGATTGCTGTGTTCTATGCTGACTTGTATGAGAAGAGAACATATAGCTTAAGATTGGTATACAACAAATCGGTTATGATTCCTAGTGCCATTTACTGGAAGTAATTTTTTTTGCTTTAACTGCTTATTGAGTTCTCAAGTTACTTGAGTTGTTGGCTATGTGGTTAAATTTATATTATTTTAAAAATGCAACATCCAGGAGAAAATGAGGCTTCTATGTTGAAACTCTCAAATTCCAATCCTTTTGCAATTTATGGGTAAACACTTTGAAAAGAAGGTAATTTTTTAAAATCTAACCTCTACCCCAGGCTAATATCCCCTATAGGCTGAGGAGCAATAATAGCCCTTTGCTTCCTGGTAACCAGCAGCTGACATGACTCTATTTTCCCAAAAACAGGAGCGAAATAGTTAATTATAGAAATATCATTTGCTTACTGCTCAGGATGTTAATCAAACGTTCAAGGATAACTAAAGGATTTAAGCAGCCAAAGGTTCTGTCATATCACATGTAAAAGGAAACACTGCTCTCCAAGCATTCATCTATTACACACCTCTGCTTTAACCATCTAAGGAAACATGGATTTCAACATATATCGTGTTCTTTAAAACTGGTTTTCCCAGAAAACCATTTGCAAAGCACATTCTTAAGTACAATAAAACTGTAATGGGTACTCTTCCGAAAGATCATTTCTCTTTGAAGAAAACCTTTGTCTGCTCAGCAACGCAGATCATCGACTCTGCAAGAATCATACAAAATCTGAAACTCAAATATGACATGTCTGAATAAATGTATACAGCCTAAAACTTACAAACTAGCAGATCTAGAACCATCCAGTTAGAAATAGAAATTTATGTCAGGTTTTAAGCAACATACATCTAACAACTATCAAAAGTCAAATTCTTAGAAAATAGCATCATCTTGCATTTACTGCTTTGCATACATGAAGATGTATATTACACGTAAATAAAGTTTGTGCATATTACAATAGCAATTCAGAAAACTGATATTATCATGTATTAGGGACCCGAGGCTAACTGTTGTATAATATAAAGCACTTTTAATACTTTTAGGTATTAGGCAACATAATTGTATTATAAGCAGCAGGAAAGTGGAAGGGAGAGTGGCCTCCCCTATGGTGCCATACAGAAATCAGCCAGATCTGATATCTGGAAACCGGGAGACCACAAGATCGGTATTATAAAGAGTTGGTTAAAATTTTACCTTAAATCAGTGGTAAACACATGTACAAGTGGCAAGAAATCACCCCCTTCTGCCATTGGATGTAAGAAGGCCCATCTGCTCAGTCAGATGATCCAAATGATGAACTCTGTTCCAGCCATTCTCTTGTCCATTTGGTAATTCCAATTCCTTCATCACACCATTTTCAAGTGAACTTGAGTCAATTTCATCAGTATCCCCAGTAAGAGGGCTTGCTGCAAGAAACTGTTCCCAAAAAGAATCAAAGATAGGCGGCAGCTTAGCAGTCTCATTCATCAAGATGTCCTCATCATGAGCAGCAGAGAAATCATCTGTTTCTTCAGGCACTTCCCCATCCATAGCAGATGACAATGGCTCCATGTACTCTGCATGTCCACCCTCAGAGCGCACCATACTTGCATCAGCATATCCAACAGTGCTAGTTGTCACCAATTCTTGTACTGGGCTGAAGTTTGGATAAAGAGCATCTTTTTCAGATCTATGGATGTCAGAAACTTGATCTCCTTTACCACTCATAATGTGAGTGGCAGATGGTGCGTAAGCATCAGGAATCCCTGACTCTGCCTGTACATATGATTGCACAGAAGATGATGGCACCTCAGAAAGTGTCACTCCTGAAATCCGAGTTGAGGAGCTCCCTGTGTCTATTGTGCTGGTGGAAGGAACGACATCAATTAGAAAAGCATCAGGATTATTAATTGAAGGGTCCAGTCGGGGTGGTGTATTCATCTTCAATATCTGGTTAAGCACTGTCTTTGCTGGATCATGAAGTCTAGGATCGTACTTTACAATCTGGCCATTTGGAGAAATAGTTCCATTTTCAACAGCTATATTTTCTTCATCCTGCCTGGGGAGTCTCCTTTTTTTGTTCTCCCTAGTAATTCGTCGGCTGCTTTCATTTTGCTGTACAAGCTGGCTTAAGAAGCCTGGACTCTGCATGGCCTTTGCAAGAAAAGACATCATTTGCTGCTGTCGCTGCTCCATCACCTGCACACGTTGGCCAACAGCTTGCAACTGGTGATCAGTAGTTTGCTGCTGTTGCCTTAACCTAACAAGTTCCTGCATTAGGACATTCTTGTCCCGCTTTAGCCTTTCAACCTCCTCTTCGAGCCCAAACTTCCCAACCTCAACACATGCCCCAACTGATGAGCTCTGAACTTGAGGCTGTGGATTATTGTGTCCATGAGCGGGTTTTCTCCTGCTGATACTTTTCAAAAGATGCTTCTGACCCCTTAGAAACCCCTCATTAGCAAATTCCCAGCGGTCAGGGTCAACTTTCCTAAAACCCTAAGTAAAAAAATTATGGAAATCAACGAAACAAGCTATCACATATACTTCCAAAATGAAAGCAGCAAGCCCATATTTATAAAGCAGGATTTAAGTGCAAATATCTAATTGAATCACTCAATCACATGCCATCTGTCCTTGTTCAACCCACTGCCTGACCACAATCAATTAGTAATTACAAGCAGAAATTAAACCTGCAGATAAACAAACAGAGTTATAATTTCATGAGTTCTTGAACTCAAGCAAGCAAATAAAAAGCCAGAAATTTCAATCTATAGCATCCTGCCTCTGACACAAAATTACTTTAATTATGAGGGAAAAAAAAATAACTTTAAATTTCAATCTGTCACTCTGTCAGCTGCTAGAAAAATGTTGAATGAATGCACCATTAGAAGTGGTCCCACATTCACATTTTCACATGATGACAGGACAAAAGACAAACAGGGGGGAAAAAAGAAACCCTTTCAAGATGACAGTGACAACCTGTCTGAAAGAGTGAAAGTTCATCTGAAGCAGTGTGCTTTTATGCACACATTTTGTTTTCTTTCTGCACAAAACCTTATATAAGTTATTTTAATTTATAATGTCCTTCCTGCTATTTGTTTGAAGATATCACTTTTAGTAAGATAAAATATTCTATGTGCGTGTATATAGCATCTTAAGGACACCTAAAATCCTTTTCAACTCTGCAGCACGGAAACATAGCAAAGTATTTCGGAACAGCAGCAGATTATAACTAGGAAGTTCAAAGTTCAAAATTCAAACAACCAAATGCCACAATAAGGCGCAGCTCAGGCAGTAAAAGCATCCATATAAATACCCATGGATTATTAAAATGGAATGATTTCCAAAGAAACCCAAGTCAAACTATAGGGCAAAACGAAAGACTAGAATGGCCATAATCATTTATAACTTTGAATTTAGTAAAGTCAAACTTTCACATAACTAACCTGATAAATTTTGAATTTATACTTAAAAATTATTAATTATCTTACTCCAATAAAGAGAAATGAAAATTATGTAGCTGAGCCGTGCAAGCATTATTAAGAGAAAGAGGGAAAAAAAACAAGAAGCAAGCAAATCAGCTAAAATATCTAGAGCAGCAACTTAACTCAACTAGGTCTTAATTCAAATAAGTTGGAGCCAGTTATATTACATGAATTCTTTCTCCAATCTGAATCATCAATACCTATAACCAACATCAGGCTGTTTGGAGCAGAAATCTTATTTAGCAGCTTACAATCTAGTTCGTATTGGTTCTGACCTTGATATCTTTGTGCATATAATACTCACCCTTTCAGCTAACATTTTCAACTATCATGCCTAAGCCTACTTGGAAGAGCCAGTCCACAAAAAATTTCTTTCCCAAATTTTTTATATATTCATCAATGCTACTTCCAGTGCCTCATGAATTACTTGCTTAGATTTTCTCATTTTCAAATTTCTAACATACATTAGAATATTCAGATTCTTCAAGCACGCAAAATCAGTCTTTTGTATTCCTTATCATTTGAATCCGTGCTTATGGTGCAAGCAAAGAATCATATATATCATTTTTTGGGTAGCCAAAAGAACCAAAGGAAATAGCAAAATAAAATCCACACCAAAATTGAGCTTTGTAATCTACATCTGAATCCCCCAAAACCATTGAAACCATTCATCTTGTATGTGCATAATGCATCTCACCCCCACAATAGCATCAGAGATCAATTCTCTCAGAAAATCAATTTCAATCTTTCCCAAGAATCTGATTGACGGCCAGATTTTGAATTGTAAAAAATTTCCAGTTCCTTATACTTCTGAAACCTTTAATAGAATTCTTATCAAATATAGTTATACAATTAAAAAAAAAAAACCTAAAAAACTGAAACTAGTCTTTTTCTCTTTTTACTCTTGATTTGAATGTGGTATCCTCAAGGAGAATACTTTATTTCCAAGCATACTCAACTTTTCCATTTAGAATAACAAATGAGACTTGAGCTACTCAATTGCTTAACCTGGAAAGATTAAACAAGGCCAAGCTAACTCTTTTTCACCAATAGCAGTAGCACATCTAATAAAACCCCATATCAATCTAGTTTAAACTCTCCTTCCTGAAAAACTCCATTAGTTATCCCAAATCCCAGTTCCCCTATACTAAAACTGACTCTAATATATATCAAATGTCCAAAAAGAAAAGAAAAAAAACTAAACCCAACAACACCAAACAAGGCACAATCCTCTGGACTCTCACATGCTATCAAAAAAGACGAGGAAACTGAGTAAATCAAACACCAAAAGAAAAGAAATACCCACATAAGTATTCAACTGCCTGACAAAACTGGAGAAGTTATTGTGCTTGAAAAACTTGGGCAAAAGGTCCCTGGCAAACTCTGGGACATCCCACACCACAAAACTATTATTCCCTTTGCTCCAGGAGACCACATCGTTGGTGGAAGGGTCGTCCACCATGTCGTAAGTCTTGCTGAGAAACGGCGGCACGGTGCTAGCCGACGGCACAGAGTTGGCAGCCGACATAGAATCTTGAACGGAGTCCATACTGTAAGAGAAAAAAAAGGA